GTCCTTTAGGACTCTGATGAGCACCTAAGGCTGGGCATCAATCAGCAGACTGGCACTCTGACCCTGGTGCACTGGGCATGCAGCTTGCTAATTATTGGCTCAGGGTGAGCCCAGGCTCACGATTGCTTTGCCTGCACCAGCAACAGGGTGTGATTTGGACCTGATCCCCAAGCCCACAGTTGCACTTCCTACCATGCACATATAAGAAGTGCTGGTATCAGGAGAGCAGCTCCCATCATGCCTTTAACTGAATATCTACCAGAGGCCTTAGTTACCGTTTAATATAGGGCAAGAGTTACAAAATTTGGGTGCCTAAGTTTGGTTCCCATGCAGGGGCCTGTTTTTCAGAGATACTGAACACACGAAGCTTCTACTGAATAAGTAGGACTTAGAGGTACAAAGTTGAAAGTCCCTGTATCAGTAAACTCAGCCTACTGGAAATTTAGAAATGTCCTTTGCAGATATACCTTCATCATTCCAAATATTATTTTTCTGAAGTGGATATTCTCTGAATTTTGGATATTTATCTGTTCAGACTATCAGGATTTGCATTGTAAATATAATTTAAAATAAATTTTAAATATCATCTTTGCTTGGTGTTTAGAGTCATACAAATGATTGGCAGTGGATTGCTTAATAGCTTTTTTTACAGTATCATGAAAATCTCTGGCAATGTATCTAACTAAGTTAATTTACAAGTGATATAGGCATTAAAGGCCAATATTTCAGCTCACAAGGGGTAGACCAGATGCTATGAGGGCCAGACCTTTAGTTGGAATAAATTGTTTTTGCTCCCTTGACCTGAAAGAATCATTGCTGAAGCAACTGAGGGTGCAACAAATAATATCTTCTACTTTTCTTCACTTCCAAGTTAAACAAATACAGATTAATTGCTTATTACCTAAATGGATATTTAAATAAACTCTCTAGACTTCAGGGACTAATACAGCTTTTCTGTAAAGCACCTTCAAATTTGTTATAAAATTCAGTAAAGTGCTCACAGCCTGCCAAGCTTGGGTGCATGGGCTATTAAAAGGAAACCAAAAAGGACCGGTGGACCCAAATATGAGCCTTGTCTGTATTCATGCAAGCTGGCCATACCCTTACAATGCCATTGCTGTATGGAAATCAGGCTCTCTCTTTTCTTGTATAAGCTGTTTGGGGCCAGGATCATCTTTTGGTTTTGTGTTTGTTTTATCCCCTGCTCACTGGGCACTATGATGATGCAAAGACAACAATATCAGCCTCTGAAAGAAGAAAGATTTTGTTTTGCCTGCATGTTCTATAGCCTCTAGTTGTAAGATGATTGTATTCTTCCTTTCTGAGAAGTGATTTTTTTTCTCCATTTAGGAATGCAAATTATAGTGTGGCTCTTATTTCATGGAGGGCAGAGATGTAGATTTGGAACATAGAAGGCACTATGTCTTTTTAATTAAGTATTTGCATTATCTTCAGTTGTGTTTTATATAGATTTATAATGCTTTCAGCAATATGAGGTGTCCCACACTTAATTGCTAGACTAACTTCTATACAGGTGATTGTATCCTATCTATACACTAGAATTTATGTGACTTCTTTCCCTCCTTCCATTGGCACACTATCGGCACTTTTACATGTGCTGTAGGAGTGAGGGGCAGTGCTTTAATTGGAGTGGCTCTGAGAGCCACTTTAATTTAAGCACCGTGTCTCATGTATCAACATCCCCAGACTTAAAAGTGGCAGCAGAGATGCTTTGAACTAAAGCTCCTCCAATGAGCATTTTTAAGCACCGGGATGTTGATACATGAGATGCAGAAGGTTGCCAGAGCACAGTAATTGCCACACTCCAGCAGACTTGATTAATCGGGTGTGCTCCAACGTGCTGGAATTCCAGCACGTTGGAGCAGCCTCCATGCTTGTGTATAGGCACCCTATGTTCTTAACTTCCTGTCCTAAACCCTTATGTCATTTTTCTGTGCTTTGTTGAATATAAGATATATTCCAGTATAGCTTCATTTATGTGCTAGGTGAAATGTACACCCTTTCAGTGCACCCTGAATTTCCCTTTCAGAGAAAAATATATAAAAATATGTTAAAACCAATTGGTGCTGCCTAATGTAAGCTTTTAAAATCATGTACCAAAGGTCTAGGACAGCGTTTTCCAAACTTTTGATACCTGAAGCATGTTTTTTTCTGGCTTAAAAATCAGCAGCACATTTCACTCTTACCCAAAAAGTCAGGGGGTTTGCACCAACTCACCACTGTTCATCTATATATATGTGTATGTATGTATGTATATAATGACTTGTGCAGTGGTGCCCAATCTTTTGGCCCCATGGGCCATATTAATAGTTCTGTGTTGGTCCAAAGGATGGTTCCTGTCTGTGGGTCTAATCCTGCTGCGCAGGACTGGCATGGCCGGGCCCAATCCTGCCACATGGAGCTTGTAATTTTGGTGGCAGGGAATGGTGGCAATGTTAATTGCTACTGCTCCCCCACAGCCAAATTTCTGGTCCCTTGAGAAGTCCCACAGGCTGAATGACATGGTGCATTGGGCTAGATTTGAAGCTGATAATGCTGCAGCACACAATTTAGGTATCATGGTTTTAAGAGATATAGGTCCTGTTCAATATGCATGTCATGCATTTCTAGAGGTCTCTTTCAGCGCTGTGTTTCTATGATTCTATGATATTTTGTCCAAGTGGTTCTGGGAGATGGTCCGCCATTTTGAATTTTGATTAAGTTTGGGTCTGGGCCTTAGAGCTGGTATTTTGTTTTATACATAAAGTATATCTTATGAGATTTCTGGCCAAGGTTAAATAACTGTTATGAAGCAGATAATACAGCTTTTCCTTCAGCTTCAATGGTGAAATATATTAGCTTTTTTTTGAGGGATTTTGCTGTCTTATCTTTTGAAACAGCTGGAGTGGGAACAGCCCTCATGAAAAATAGGGTCCTACATTTTTATCCATCTCAGAACCAAAAACTTTTGAAAGAGGGCTTAGTTCTGAGATTAGAGTCAAGTTTCCTTCCCCTGGAGGGTGACTTTTTGAAAGGGGTTCAGAGGCAGTTGGGAGTTTGGGATATTTTGGTAGAATTGCGAGTAAAATTTCTATGCAGGTAACAAATATAAGGGATTGATATCCCTTGGTAGCAGGGAACTGAACGAGCATCTGAGTTAAAAAGTAGATGCAGACACTATTCATAGAGACAAAATACCAAGTTGATGGCAGTACTATGGTTACTAGAGCTTATCATTTTCCCCCTCTCCAGCCAGAAACATATAGGAGCAGCTGTCAGTTGAAATGAGTGCCAAGGCTGATCTTGGCTGAGCACTCAATTGACAGAGAAGGATATTGCTGTATATTCTGTGAATTATACTTCAGGTGAAGGTGGTAATTAACATTTCAGTCTGAGATTGTCAGTTTTGTGTTCATCCCCTGGATTCAACATGCATCATCTTACCATGCTCTTTTGCAGTCCTAAAGACTGAAAAGTATGCAGTATTCCATCACCATGTCATAACGAGTTTGTGTGTGAGACACAGAAAGAGAAACAGCTGCTCCTTATGCTTTAGCTATCCTTGATCTAGCCAAAAGGAAGACACTGTTTCACAGATTTCATGAATTTTAGGGTCAAAAGGGACCTATTAGATCATCAAGTCCAACGCCCTGCCCTGGGAAGGAAAGAGTGCTGGGGTCAGATGACCCCAGCCAGGTGTTTGTCCAATCTCCTCTTAAACACCTCCAAGGAAGGAGACAGCACCACCTCCCTTGGAAGCATATTCCATATTTTGGCAACCCTCACTGTAGAGAATTTTTTCCTGATGTCCAATGTAAATTTGCTCTCCTTCAGTTTGTGGCCATTGTTTCTAATTACCCCAATGGGCACCCTGTTAAACATTGTATCCCCTATTTCCTGCTGTCCCCACCCCCCGATGAGTTTGAGTTTGTAGACGGCCACAAGATCACCTCTCAGACTTCTCTTGCGGATGCTGAAGAGATTCAGGTCTCTCAATCAGTTCTCATAGGGTTTTTTCTGTAGGCCTTTAACCAGATGGATGACCCTCCTCTGAACCCTTTCCTGCAGTGTAGCACTCAAAACTGGGTGCAGTACTCCAGCTGCAGCCTGAACAGTGCCACATAGAGGGGAAGTATCACCTCCCTAGACCTGTTTGTGATGCACCTACTTATGCAAGAAAGAGTGCGGTTAGCTTTATTTATCGCTTCATCACATTGGTGACTCATGTTCATTTTGGAGTCAACTACGACTCCGAGATCCCTTTCCACAGTTGTGTTACTTAGAATGGTACCTCCCAGGCTATAGGAGTGCTGATGATTCTTCCTCCCTAGGTGCAACACATGGCACTTACCTTTATTAAACTGCATCCTGTTCTGTTCCACCCACTTCCCCAGCCTGTCCAAATCCACCTGAATTCGCTCCCTGCCCTCTAGTTTGTTTACCTCCCCCCATAGTTTGATGTTGTCTGCAAACTTGGACAGGGTGCTTTCTACTCCTTCATCCAAGTCACTAATGAAGATATTGAACAATACTGGTCCCAGGACAGAATCTTTGGGGACTCCACTACCCACATTTCTCCAGGTAGAAACTGACCCATCCACCACCACTCTCTGGGTGCAACCCATAAGCCAATTTTCCACCCACTGGATTGTGTAATAATCTACATTGCAACTGTTTAGTTTATTTATAAGAATTGGGTGGAACACTGTGTCAGAGGCTTTTTAAAATCTAAGTAAATAACATCTACCTCTATTCCTTCATCCAAGCATTATGTGACCCGGTCGTAAAAAGAAACCAGGTTAGTCAGGCAGGATCTGCCTTATATGAACCCATGCTGGTTGCCCCTTAGCATTGTTTTACCTGCTGGTCTCCCACAAATGTGATCCTTAATAATTTTCTCAAAGGTCTTGCCAAGGATAGAGGTGTGGCTAACCAGCCTATAGTTACCTGATTCCTCCTTTCTCCCCTTCTTGAAAATAGGGGCCACATTGGCCCTTTTCCAATCCTCTGGGATCTGTCCTGAGGGCCACGAATGCTCAAACAGTTGTGCCAATGGATCTGCTATGACTCCAGTTAATTCCCTAAGTACCCTAGGGTGCAGATCATCAGGGCCTGTTGACTTAAATACATCCAACCCCTCCAGGTGCCCCTTTACTAGGTCAGCGCTGACAGTTGGTGGGTTGGTATCTATCTCGCACTTACCTAAAGTCCCATTGGGATGCATGCTTATATTCATGTCCAGGAACACAGATGCAAAGAAATCATTTAGGAGCTCTGGTTTAGCCATCCTGTCTGTTACCAGTTGCCCTAGTCCATCTTGAAGGGGCCCTATGTTACCCTGCGCTTTCTTTTTCTGTGCATTTAAAAAATTACTTGTTGTTATCCTTAACTTTTGCTGCCAGCCTAAGCTCCATTTTTGCTTTGGCTGTCCTCACTGCTTCCCTACAAGCTCGAGACAAGCAGGTATACTCCTCCTTAGTGGCTGCCCCCTGCCTCCACAGCCTGTAGGCCTCTCTTTTCCCCTCCAGGCTCTCGTGAATTTCCCTGCTCTACCAAGAAGGTTTCTTTGCCCTCTTGCCCCCCTTTATGTGTACTGGGATGGTCCCTTTCTATGCCTACAGGATCAGTCCCTTGAGAAATGCCCATTCTTCCTGGACTCTCATCTCTCCAATGCTTTTGCCCATCAGTCCCTCCCTAACTAATCTCCTGAGTTTGTTGAAGTTGACCATCCTGAAGTCTAGCACTTCAGCCTTACTAGTTATCTTCCCCACCTTTCGCCGGATAGTGAGCTCTATCAATTGGTGGTCACTATCCCCTAGGTTACCTTGTACCTCCAGATCCCCCACCAAGTCATCCCCTGTGGCCAGCACCAAGTCTAGTAAGGATTTTCCTCTATTTGGAATGTTTACCTCCTGTGATAGGTGAAGGTCCTGTAAGCAGGTTAGAAACTTACATGAATGGGAAGGCCTGGCTGCCTGTTCTTCCCAGCAGATATCTGGTAAGTTTAGGTCACCCATGACAACCAAGTCCTTTGAGCACACTGCCTCTGAGAGCTGTCTTGAGAATTCTAGGTCTAACTCATCACCCTGATGTGGGGGTCTGTAATAGATCCTCACTACCAAGTCCTTTTCTCCCCAACTCCCCTGTAATCTGAACCATAGTACCTCAATTCGCCCATCTTCTAGGCCCTACTTAAGTACAGAAGATGTATATTGCTCCTTAAATTAGAGAGCAATGCCCCTGTCCTTTTTTCCCCCACTCTATCCTATCTGTACAGCTTATAGCCCTCAATGCCTACTACCTAATCATGGGTAGGGTCCCACCAGATTTTTGTTAGCCCAACCAGGTCGAATTCTTTATTTGCAAGCAAGAATGCAAGTTCCTCTTGCTTGTTCTCCATGCTTCTAGCATTAGTATAGAGACATCTAAGCCCCACAGGAGATGCCCTTCTGTTATTTGAGACACAGCAAAATTGCTATGACTGAAAAGGGTGGAGTGTACAGTTAAAGGACCTGATTTTTCAACTCCCTTGTACCTTTTGTCATCATTTTCATCTGTGCAAGGTGGTTTTAGCATTTCCCTATATTAAAATGATAACCTTTGATGCCCACTTTGTGCTTGCTATACACTTATGGAAGTGAAACAAGATGCAACACAATATAGGATTAGAACTTAGACTTTGTACCAGGGAGGCCATGGTTGTAGCTGTGTTGGTCTAAGGACGTAGGCAGACTATTGCCTGAAGAAGGGTGTTTGTTCCCAAAAGCTTGCGAAGAACAGTTTTTCCAATGATTTAGTTGGTCTAATAAAAGATATTACATCTACCCAAAGAACCTTGTCAGACTTTGTACCTGCTTTTCTGGTTAGTTACTTCAACTAAATAGAAAACAACAATAAAAAATACCTCTAGATTTCCCTTAAAGCAGCCTCTCAACCCTTCTTTTAGCAATGCTTTTTAACTCTATATTGCTGTGCTCTGAACTGTATTTTAAATTGTTCCATAAGCACATTTGTGAGGAAGGCATTCTTTATGGAATGTGTATTACATTCATTTAACTTTCTCGATTATTTCAGTGATCTGTATTTCATGAAAAGTAGCGATGTGAATATAGACAGTGAGTGTGAACCTTGTACAGTTGTGTCTATATTCAAGAATACCAAAAACTTTTGCTTCATTTGGGTTTAATCTGGTCATTGGCAGAATCATAGCTACTTAAACAACAGCCTGTGATTCAGTTGCATAATTTGTATTAGAGGCCACAACTAAAATCAAAATCCTATTATATTAGGCCTTGTAGAAATCATAGGAAGAAACAGACTTGTTGCTGCTATTCCAGTCCTCAAAACTGTCCAAGGCATTTCACAGAACACACGGTAAGCCAGGACTCCTCCTCTGGAGAGGTGATAGTCCAATTTAGTTAGAATCAGAAGGCCAAAGATAAATTAGTAGGGGTGGAAGAGGAGGTATTGAGGAACTAAGACAAGAGCAATAAGATACCTGTGTGCCCAGTTTGGCTAGGGACAGACATTCAAAAAGTCTGAGCCTGAATTGATTCAGTCTTTGCAGGTTTGTCTAACTTGGCTAGGCTGAACCAGTTTGTAAGTGCACAGACATCCCCTCTGGACTTAAAAAATGTAGGCACATGCCTGCAGTGGCTCAGGCTAGAAGCCAGGGGCGCTAGAGAGGCCCTCCCTCCCCTTCCAGTGCTGAGCTGAGGGTGGGGCATGGCCAGGCCCCTACAGGATGCTCTGATATGTCCCCCCTTCCTCCCCCCAGCAGCCCAGCACGGAATGCTTATTACCCCAAACTCAGTTTTTATCAACCCATTAAGAAAACAAAGCCTGTCTCCATTAGTGCAAGCTCTTCTTAAATAGCTTTTTAAAGGAAGGACCTTTCAAAGGAAGGACCTGTTGATTTGCTCCAAAAAGCCTGTCTGCCTTTGTTGCCTCCCACAGCACAGGTTGTAGCCAGCATCTAGTCTGCCAGCTAATGCTCAGAGGTGTAAGGCAGAGGGGTTGGGGAAATAATCACTGCTTAGCAGGGGGACGCCAGGCAGTCTCTGCCAGAGCTCCAGCAAGGGAGCAAAGGGGAAGGGGGAATTCCTGCTTAGCAGTGATTGGTGAGTAGGAGCGGGGGGGAGCAGCCTGCAGTCTCTGCCTGAGCTGCAACTAGAGAGCAGAGGGGAGGGGCTAGCTCAGCTGTGGAGCAGAGAGCATGCCAGGATGCTGGGGGAGTCTGGTTTATCTTAAACCAGCAAGGGGGCTGGAACAGATATTGAATAAACCAGTTTCAGCCAAATCAGTTAAGTTTGATACTACATTCAACTAGGTTTATCTCAAACTGGCTTCAGCCATTCTCAAACTGGTTTATATGCACTGAACATTTGTTCTGTTACAAGTTTAAACTAGTTTCTGATCTCTTAAACCAGTTTATGTGTAATGTCTGTCTCTAGCCAAATGTTTAAGGCCTGTGTACACCTAGATTGCTCAATTAAAAGTTTTATTTTAGCAAATAAGTAATGGTTTGCTCCTTATACATATTACACTGGACAAGAAGCCCCACCAGTAGTCTGAAGCATTCAGCACAGACCAAGGTAACAAACAGGGATGTGTGAAGTGGTGGCACCTACAGTGACATAAAGATGGTTTAAAATGTACATCCTCTTTCCTTGTACTGAGATAGTTAAGTAGAGAAATCAGAAACCCAGATCTGAAAGAAGCCAAACTTAAGTGAAGTTTAGGTATGGGTCAGGCCGAGCTCAGTACTGACATGATTCCATCAATAACTGGATGTTTAAATAGATGTTATATTCCCTCTGCATCTTGTCACTGTTGGAACTTTCAAGACCAGTGCATTTGTGCTTGCTACTAGCATAATAAACCCTTATTCTTAAACTAACCTCTGTCCCAGTCTTGTCTTGCTGCTATAACTATGGCACATTTTGTTTCTGAAAATAAAAAAGGACTACTAGACCGCTGTTAAAATAGATATATTTCATTTTCTTTGCCTTTGTACAATAAAATAATTGCTGCACAAACTTCAATGAGTATATCAGATTACAGATGAGTGCAGACCCAAAGTTTTTCAGAACTGCAAAGATCTGGTTTTGTTTAAAGTGGCATTCATCCTGGTGTACTTTTGGGAGCATAATAGCTGTACTTTATCAAATGCTGACTGTGCTTACAGTCCTTTCATTTCACACCAGGGCTGAGAGATTCTTGCCTACCATTGCCAGGTGGTGGCACCTATGTCTGCATGCTTCCCATTCATTGTTGCAGCTTCTGGAAAGTCATCACAGCAGCAGGTTGGCTAGGTTGGAAAGCAAAAGATTTTACATGCAATTGCCTTCTCTTGCAGGAGGAGACCGAGAGCGGATGACAGCTAACCATGAGACATATCTTCTTATGGCCAGCACACAGAATGACATGGAGGACTGGGTGAAATCCATTCACAGGGTTATATGGGCACCTTTTGGAGGAGGTGAGTTCACAGGAAAAATACCAAAAATACTAAGAGAAAAGGTAATGCCTGACTTGCTTTGTTGTGAGTTTAGGTCCCAGCTGGAGACTCCAAGTGAAGAAAAGGAGTCTAGTATAAGCCACATACTTAACATATTTTAAAGTATGTCACTCTCAGGGTATAAGTACACATTGCAGTTCTCATGTGCTAACACTAAAAAATGTAAGGTGGTATTAAATTTTGCATATGCTATGAGTAGTTGCATGTTAAGGGTCAATACCCGCTCTAGTATGCACAGCTTTGACTTGTCACTAGGGGTAGAAACAAAAATTACATGTACACCAGTATAAGTGACTGGAAACTGATTCAAAATCTGTAAGAACAGAAGTTCAGTGCTCAAAAACCACTTTCAAAATGGCTGAAACCAGAGTAAGATAAACCTCTATGGATGTAGTATCAGGCTTGTTTTAGGTTAAATTGGTTTACTGAACTTCTGCCCCAGATCCCCTCCAGATTCAAGTTAACTCACAGTGCCCTAGCATCCCACAATGCTTTGCACCTTCCCTACAAATCCCCCTCACAGGGTGGGCAGGCTAGCCTTGGCCCAAGCTGTCTGGTCCAGCCAAGCAAGGAGGTGTGACCTAGCACCCCCGGCTTCTGGTCTGGGCCACTGCAAGCCCATACCTGAATTTCTGGAATCAAAAGTGGATGTCTGTGTGACAGGGGGCCAAGTCAAGATCAGATCTTAACGTTGGTCTGCCGCTCTGTTTAGGGCAGTCTGCCCTGCCTCTCCTGCCATGACTTGCTGGTT